ACGTCTGATGTTCGATCACCTTTAAATTCCAGACTTATATAAAGGTTTTTCTTTGGAACGGAACAACTAGAATTCTTCTCACGACTACTTCTATTCATATTCTTTTCTATGAACCGTTCTGGGTAACCAAGTGTATTTTGAACAAGAGCAGTATATACAAGATTTATTATTGCAAGAAATAAATAAAATAAACTGACAGAAACCCTTCTAAATGAGAGAGAAAACTGGGGTTTTTTTTTAATCTTTTCTTTCTAGCATATACTCAGCCACCCTTTTACTTCATGACTACTACACTGTTGAAAATTACTGTTTCTACACTAACAAACAGTAATTACATGTAAATTATTATTATTTTTCTGTTATACAAATTCTAAAGAAAAAAAAACAAACATTAAGAATGTGAAAGAAAGATTGATAAACTGAAGTTGTTGAGAAATAAAACAGAATGGAAAACATGAATATTGAAGTAGAATATTGATGTACACACACACACACACAAAGAATAAGAGATGATTCGTTACTAAGTGAATTTGTTTTGTTTTTCTTTAAAAAAAATTTTATCCTTTTAATAAGATGAAAAACAATTGAAAGAAAAATGTTTCTTAAAAGATAAGTTAAAAAGAGATTGTATATTGTATCATTATGTTCCCTATTATGCCTTTATCCTGTAATATTTCTTTTCTCTATTTCTTCATTGTATATTGGAAAACGTTTGAAACAACAAAAGAATAAATGAATAAACATGAATATTTTGAAATGTGTTGCTAAAAAGACATTGATTCAAATGAAAATTACAGTATGGTACATTATTCAATTTTTTTCTAATATTCAAGTTAATGGAATAAGTAAAACAGCTGAAAATAATTGATCGAAATCTGTGTGATCTACAACCCTTTACTGATAATTACCATGTGCTCACTAGGGACTAGCTTCGTGAAGTAATTCTCCGAGTTCTAGTGAGAAGCTGTGACCAGTGGAGCTAATCCATGTCGGGTAGAGATAGGTATCTAACTAGTTGCAATGGAAGATGGTCGCGCACTTTTGTGGATTGGTTAACTTACTTACTTACTTACTTACGCCCGTTACTCCTAATGAGGCATAGGCTGCAGACCAGCATTCTCCAATCCGCTCTGTCCTGGGCCTTCTTTTCTAGTTCCATCCAATTCTTGTTCATTTTTCTCATGTCTATCGCCATTTTCCGGCGTATTGTGTTCTTTGGTCTTTCTCTTTTCCTTTCGCCTTGAGGATTCCATGTGGGGGCTTGTCTTGCGACGCATTTGGGTGCTTTCCTCAATGTGTCCTATCCACTTCCAGCGCTTCTTCCTAATTTCTTCCTCCATTGGAATATGATTTGTTCTCTCCCACAGTAGGTCGTTGCTGATAGTGTCTGACCAAAGGATTCGAAGTACTTTGCGTAGACAACTGTTAATAAACATTTGTATCTTCTGAATGATGGCTTTCGTAGTTATCCAAGGTTCCGGTCCATACAGTAGAACTGTCTTGACATTTGTATTGAAAATCCTGACCGTTGTGTTGGTTGACTGTCGCTTTGAGTTCCAGACGTCCTTCAGTTGTAAATATGCTGCTCTTGCTTTACCGATCCATGCTTCCACATCTGTATCAGACCGACCATGTTCATCAATGTTGCTGCCCAAATATGTAAAGGTTTTTACATCTCCCAAATCTTCACCGTCAATTGTGACTGGATTGGTGCATGTTGTGTTGTATCGGAGAATCTTTCTTTTCCCTTTGTTTATGTTGAGACCTACTGCTGCTGAGGCTGTTGCTACACTGGTCGTTTTCTCCTGCATTTGTTGTTGCGATTGCGATAGGAGGGCCTAATCATCTGCGAGGACTGGTTGAGGTTAGACATTAACACTATTTCAAATTGATTGAGATCATGAACCGATTGATGTTAGACGATCATGAAAAACTTAGAAGCACTGGACGGCCGTTTCGTCCTATTGTTTGGATTTATTGAGGTAAGACATTAACACTGTTTGATGCCGGTTGGCTCAATGGTATAGAGGTTAAGCGTTCGCGTGTGAGATTGAAGGCCCTGGGTCGGAATCCCGAGAGTGGTATCGTGGATGCGCACTGCTGAGGCGTCCCACAATAGGACGAAACGATCGTCCAGTGCTTCTAGGTTTTCCATGGTGGTTTAACATCAATCGGTCCATGGTCTCAATCAAAAACTTAATAATCTCCACAACCCTATGCTGATGATTAGTTATCACCTAATACTTGCCAGTGAAATAATATCATCATTTTTTTATAAAAACAATACTCTTTATAAGATGTGAATTAGAGTTAACCAGTATCCACAGTTAGAAATGTAACCACTAACGTATTCAATGGATAACTGACTTCTTGTCAAGATTAAGTTATTTAAATTGACTGAATGAATACCATGTCATTAATTACTATACAGTTAATGATTAGTAGACTACTTATGAAGAATGTTGAAATCTTCAATCATCGATGACATTGTTGTTCGATAAGATGATCTGAAACATTTTCATTGTTCGCTAACTGGTCATTTCTCTTTTTAGTTACTGAGTCCTGTATATTAAACTGGAATGTTTATTTAAAGTTTCATCTCAAGTCCTAACTTATAATATATCGCTGTTATTCATCCTGAACATTGGCCTACGTTGCACTCAATACGTGCATAACAATGGGGAACAACTCCAATCCCCTTTAAAATTAAATTGCATATCAAAATTACACTCATATATTCAATACTCATTCCTTAAATGGGAAGATATTTAAAGAACATTAATAATATAACATAAAATCATGTCTAATTTCTACAACTTGTCATATCTAAGCCCATGGCATTCGTACCCACATACACGTAAACAAATGCATACACGAATTAATTTAGAATAGTAAGTGTATTATAAGCAAAGATAGATAGTGGCTAGCATTGGAATCCAGGACGTGAGTTTCATCCTATTTGGAACTTGTATTCCTTTATAAGTGGTGTTTTTATCATCAAAATTCAATTCCAGCACAATTAATTAATGGAACTTCCAGATTTCCCATGGTGATCTAGCTTCAATTGACTCATGATTTCAACTACTGAAATTACTAACATCTCCACAAAACCCCGTCTAGTAAAAATGATAAAGCAACTAATGATCACAATTTGAAACAGTCTATAAATTGTCTTATACACTGACTAATAATAATAGGCTGCCTGCTTGAGTATCTGGGCTACCCGTTCCTTCCATCTAGATATGTCAACAAGTTATCGATTTTTGTTTGTTTTGATATATCATTACGTCTATTATTCGCATAACTTATCCTGGTGCATTTCTGAAAAGTGTACAACTTTTCGTTGTCAAAGTTACAAAAAGCCCAATAAGAGATAATGTGGTCGCTAACAATATGCAGCAAAAAGAACATGCATTATTCAGATGTTCATTTACTGGACTGCTAACACCTAACTGACGATCACTCAATATTTATCGTCAGGATCGATCAAGAAGTATGAAACGGAAACTTGTTAAAATACTTTGTGCTGAGAATTCTATATTGTACCAAAAATATAATATTAAATAAAGCTTATAATAATAATTTTAAAAAAATCGTAAGTTTGTTCTATCGTGTTAATTTTGTTTTGACAACAAACTTCTTTATTCCATTGTAATTTCGATAATGCAATGAGAAGACATAGTTTATCAGAATTATGTGATATATTTGCGCAATACATTTCGAACAATCTGATCACACATTACATACTTGTTAAGAACATTTATATATGAAAAATTAAAAGATCAACTAGACAGGTTAAGGGTAAGTCATAACAAAGGAAAAAATATTAAAGTACACAAAAACAAATGTGATTACCACTCTGGATAGTAGTAAATCAGTACTACCAGGGTAGGTTAAGTGTAAGCACAAAGTGTTTTTGAACACATAAAGGGGGTTTCAATTTTCGTATAGTCAAGGCTTCAATAAACCTTAGTATACGTCCTTGAAGGCTATTGTACAATACATCAAATGTTGATTTGATATCAACCTTATGATCCGTCTCAATCAAATGTTTCGCAATGGATGATGATGTCTGTCTATCCTGTGATCTTATTTCACCATTGGAATTCATCTGATTCTGCAACCATCAGAAGTACACGAATACACGTTTTTTCTCATCTTTTTTTTGTCAGTGGTGTAAATATGGTAATCTTATTCTCTGATTAGTTAAATTAATAACATAAAATACAATGACTGACCTCTTTGTTCTTTCGTCAGGTGAAATTCACCTCTCTCCCATTTTGTCAACACACAACAGTAAGGATAAGAAAGAAGTAAGTATAAATTTGAAGGTGAAGACAACATTGGTAACAATGGTACAATGTTACAGTAGAGTAGTAGCTGTAGTAATAGTGGCATGTAGGCACCATTTCAAAGAATTTAATTACTAATATTCACTATTATTATTATTATTATTATCTCACTAGAGCTGAATAAATATGTATGTATGTTTACCTACAGATGTGGGTATATATGTATGTATGTGTGTATGTACCCATGTACGTATGTGTGTATATTTTTGCATACATATTTAATCCTAACTGGTTTATCCATTTTGTATTAAACGACTACAATACTTAGTTCAAACCATCCTCGATACATGAATTCATCTGTTCATCTATAGAAATATTTCTCATATGATATGCATGTGTGTAAATCCATGTCCTAGTTCCAAGTTTTTTTTATATGAAAATGTTGATAATAATATTAACAAACTGGACACTGTCCATTTGGTATACAGACAGAATATATGTACATCACAGTATTGTATTATCGTAATATATACTCACATGAGCAAACATGAAGCGGGAGAGAGAGAGAGAGAGAGAGGAGAGGTATATGAATTAGTACCTTACCTAAACGTAGTTTCACATCATTACATGCATTCGTGTGTTTGTCTATTCAATAATAATGATAATAATAATATATTGACTTACATGTGTGTGTCCTTCACTATCTCTCCGTGTGTTTGTTAATCATCTATGAGGGTATTCGACAGATGAGTAAATTAATTAGAAGTGAGTTAGCAGAGTGAAGAAATAACAGTGAACATTTCATTTACCTTACCTATAAACTCTAAGGTGTATATAATATTTTTATGTAAAGAAAATCGTTATCATGACCATTATTAGTATCATATTTTTGTGAATTTTTTTTTTAATGTTGACAATCATCTTCGAAATCTAAAAAGAAACGACGACGACTACCTCAAAAACACTAATACTGTGATAACTTTTATTCACTTATCACAAATTGAATCATTATAAGTATTGTTTCCATTGTTTCTCAACAACAACAAAAAAACTGATGTAATAATGAACCGATTTCTTTGAACCACTTCACTGATCATTATGATGACGACATTGTTAAATAATATTAAAGAACCGTTACATCATATACCAAATCAACCAGTTATGACGGTTACATCGAATTATACCGATTTAACTATGCTAAATACGAAAATAACTACTAGTAACAACAATAATAATAACAATGGAAGTGATATTACTACTCATAATGGTATAACAAGTAGTAGCAGCAGTGGTCATTGCAGTGATAATAACGATCTAAATGTTGTTGAATCACATTTATTACTGGACAACTGTGATGATGCGATGTTATCATCATGTAACAGTTCACTTATAATGGATGAACATGAAACTAACTCAGGCAATAATTCACCAATGACCAATGCAAGTGTTACCATGGCAACTAATGAGAATATTATGACTAATACTACCAACAACAACAACAACGCTAACACCAACACTAAGAATAACAGTACACATTCTATAATGCATACATCGCCATCGTCGTCTTCGTCTCCATCCTCATCGTCATCATCATCATCAATATTGGAGCATCATCAAATATCTACCTTCAAGAATAGAGAGTCAAATGATTTTCGTTGGAATACGAAAAATACAAAATTATTTGTTGGACAGATACCAAGAAGTATGCAAGAAAATGATTTACGAGTAATATTTGAAGAATTTGGACCAATTTATGATCTGTTAATCTTAAGAGATAAAATTACTGGAATGCATAAAGGTGAGTTATAATTTTAGAATAAATGAATTATTCACTTATTGATTGATTGAATAATAAAACTATTTGGTAAATAGATGTTTCACTCTTAAACTTGAAACTTCAGTAATGTAACATTATAACATTCAGTTTATTTGATTAGTTTTTTGTTGTTGTTTGAGTCATAGTTTTTAATGGTCTATAATCTTTGTTAGCTACTTTCAATAACTTAATTGTTCTTCTGTGTTAACTTGACTCATTCTAGAAGTCAATACAGACTTGTTGTTGTTGTTGGATCACTGTTAGATAATGTTACACATTTTCGGTATGTAATCAATTTCCAGCATGGTTCGATGATAAAATTTGATTCTGTAATAGTTTTAAATATAAATGAGTTAGATTAAGCCAATCTTTTTTAAAAAAAAGAATCAACTTCATAATCTATTCTAAATATATACGGTAGTTGTTTGCATAACATTTTAGATGGTATCCGTTTGACTCACCTACACAAACACAAGTATCTGTTTTAGTAGTCATCTTTTATTGTGTTCAACAGACAAAAGTTGGTTACATAGGGCAAATATACTTAATTGTAATTAACGATAAAATCATTCAGTGGGTATTTATTCAGTTTGTAAGTTTTATTCATTACTGATTTATCTCAGTTGTGGTACCATAGGGAAAAAAGGATCACTCGATATGTAGATATTGGGAGAAGATCCTTCAATAACACTGAGGATTACTGTCTTACTATCAATAAGTCGGAATGTTCACTAAAGCTTGTGGAAATCATTCTATCCTAACTGATATCAATAACTTATTCATATATATCAGTGGAGAGTGACTCAGTTGATTTATCCTTTCTTGTAAGCGTTACAAACAGTAAGAACTGTTTAACTCCTCAGAACTAAAAACTTAATTTGATTGATTGTTTTATGAAATTGCCAATGAAATGTCATCAACATATTATTAAAACTAGAAGTATTCTACCTGAAGTTTGTACTGATGATGTCGTTCAGAAGAACGATGAAAATTCCACGACCAAATAATCCACCTGAGCTTCAAATCTTGTTCATCATTTCAAAACTAATGAATTTTATTTATTTCATTGGATTTTTTTCTATACTTAAGAATTCAAAATATTTGATAGAGATAGGGAGAGAAAAAAATGTAGATGGTGATTTTTCATTTCATTAACTATTCTTTTGCATTTAATCAATGTTGACGTTTATCACGGAATGTTTCTGTATACAAACTGGTTATATAACTGATGAATAGATATACTAATGAATTTCATTAAGATTTTTTCATTGAATTTTCTACAAATTACAACTAACTGATTACTGATTTACAGAATGTTTATCTTATGACTGTATGATGATAAAACTCCATTCATGATCACTAATAATAAAATACTGACAGTTATAATCCTATTTAATAAGTATCAAGATAATGTTAATAATTTGTCTGTTTATTCACCCACTCTATATATTTGATTACAGTAATGAATTCATAACACAAACTCTCAATATTATAGATGAAGAATGTATATTTCTTAGAAAAAGCTTTGATCAGATTGCTGGGCGAAATGTTACATTAACACTTCAAATTCATTCGCTAAGATTTTACAATTACATTTTTCCTCTTTAAAGTCTCATATTAACTCGGTGCTCAAATATTGTGAAACTATTCCATCAAATTTAGATGAAAGTTCTTATCGTAAGAAAAATTCTGTTGAATATTGGTTTAACTTGTGAATTATTTGTAAAATGATCTTGAACAATCGGCTGACTGTCGTTTATATTTACTCTTAAGTGTTATTGATTTTATTTAAGCCTACATGAATGCCATTTTAATAACCACTTGCTCTTCCAGTGTTCAGATGAAGTGGAATATAAACACCAACCTACATGGTAATGGCTGTGTGGATAGACGTGATGATGATAATTCCACCTGAATTTTGTGATGAATAATTGTAATTAAAAATTTTTTGTTAATCCTTTTTATAAAATCGCTCGAGTATATTCGATGGTTAAAATTGTGGATTGGTTAAAATTAAACATTAACACTGTTGGATACTGGTCCGCTCAGTGGTCTAGAGGTGAAGCGTTCGCACGCGAGACTAATAGGTCCTAGGTTTGAATCTCGCGGGGCGACATCGTGGATGTACACTGCTGAGGAGTGTCATACTAGAACGAAATGGCTGTCCAATGCTTTCAGGTTTTCCATGGTGGTCTAGTTTCAATTAACTCATGAATTCAACTATAAAATCTAAAAACATTTTTTTGTAATACTTGCATATTTTTAGTAAATGATTAATCAATAAGTGTGAATAGGTTATCTATACCAATGAAGTAATCTATTAAAAAACAAGTCCATTTTCGATCTGTAAAAAAACGGTTTGTGTAAACTTGTGATAAATTATATCTATAGAAAGAAATTATATATTTGTCGGGACTAAATGATTTTTTATCTGATATGCAATTAATCTAGTCTTCAATCTGATAGAAGTTATCTATGAAATATAAGGAATACATTTATTATCATCATAATAAATAAAATAAATGTCAATCCCGTGGTTTATGACCATGTTGAACATGAAATAAATATTACCAATGATATTGGTGATAAATGTTAAGTCAGTGGTTTGAGGATTAAACACACTCACTTAGAAGCTTGAACGTTCCAAGTTTGATTTTAAATGGAATAGCGAATGTGCTCCGCAACTATGAAATTCAATCTTGAGTTGAAATATCTGTCCAAATCTTATTGGCTTTCGATGGTTGTTTAACTGAAGTTAGCCAGTAATGAAGTGTATATATATATATATATATATATATATATATATATATATATATATATATATATATATATATATATATATATATATATATATATATATATATATATATTATGAATAATAGTTCTGAGTAGAATAAGCTTTACAATTAAGAATAAAATAAAAATTTTGTAAATAAATGAACAAGATAAGAAAGAGTTAGGTCCGTAATGAACAGATGGATATAACAGTATACTTTTATACATGTAACTATTCTCGTTCCCCGAAGTTTCTATTATGTAATGTAGATTTAGACAAATATTTATTTAAATACAGGTCATTATGTAATTTGAAATGATCCCATGGAAAGTTGGCCATAAATTCCATTTCAAAAAATACGAATTAGTTTAAGAATTTTGTTAATTAAACAAATATTATCAGAAGGGGTTTGTGGAGATCTTAGAAATTTTCACAGATTTAAATCATGAGTCAGTTGAAGCTAGACCACCATTGAAAACCTGGAATCACTGGACGGCTGTCTCGTTCTAGTGCGGGGCTCCTCAGTAGTGCACATCCATAAATCCCGCACCAACGAGACTTGAACCCAGGACCTTTTAGTCTCGCGCGCGAACAGTGAACCACTAGATGACTGAGCTTCTCAATATTATCATCACCTATGATGTTGAGATTAAGTGAAATTATTTTTATTCTCAGTTTAACTATTCTCTTAATGTTTCTTTGGGATATATCTATTAACTGATATATACCTATCTATTTCGTAAAATGATATTTTGACTAATAAATTCTTTATAAATAACTGGATAATTTAATGTACTCTCTATTAATAATTTGAACATTGAATAATATTGTATATTTAAAATGGTGCAACTTATCATCCTCATGGTTTTGAATAAGGAAAAAAAAAGTGGGAATAGTTCTATTTTACTTTTAAAATACTCAAGGTTGTTAACCATAGCTGATCTAACAAGTTGAATGTAACTAAAAGAAAGTTCATGTTGTTTTACTGATTAAACAATTGTTGCTTTATCAGAATGAATTTTGGTGGATAGTATAGTAATTTCAATAGTTGAGATCATGAATCAATCGAAACTAGACCTCCATGGAAAACCTGCAAACATTAGACAGTCGTTTTGCCTTATCATGGGAGAGTTCGCATCCACGATCCCGCTACGCAGGATATGAACCCAGAACCTATCAATCACTTTTTTCATGATCTTTTCAACTTAATCAAAGAAAATGATGTGAAAATCAAATTAATCTATTGCCTGATAACCATTGAAATTAGTAGAAAAATGAACGATCTATAAAATTGAATGTTTAATAAAATATTTTGTAATCAAATTATTATTTAGTTTAACAGAAGTTTTTCTAGTTAAACGGAAATAAACGTACAATGAAAACTGTCATAATATTTAGTTATTAATTACAGTAATTAATTACAGTTAAGTGCTCGCGCGCGAAACCAGTAGGTCCTGGGTTCGAGCCCCACGTGGTGCGGGATCTTGGATGCGCACTGCTGAGGAGTCCCATACTAGGACGAAACGGCCGTCCACTGCTTCCAGGTTTTCAATGGTGGTCTAGCTTCAACTGACTCATGATTTAAATCTGTGAAAATTACAGTACAATGAATTTTTTTCAGTTTGACCTCATAGAAATCGGAAGCCAGTGAGAAGTCTCAAGAACAAAATCGAACTAGTTAATTATCTACAACATTTCACTGACACCAATGTAGTAAATGATTAATGATTGAGGGTAACAAAAAAAAGAGATCAATTCGGAAACGGTATAAAAATCATCGAAGAAAAAAGATAATTTAATTAATTATCTTTAAGGATAGTAACTAGGAATAAAATACGGCATATGTATATTTCACTTCATTCATGCTAGGGTTTAAAGAGATAGGTATTGTGTTTGAATCTCAATGTAAACATCAACAATAAGAATCAGAAATAATCAGTTGACGGACTCTAAATGAAACGAAGCTGTTATTGTAGATTTTATTCCTAACCTGAAATAATAAAACCCAGTACTCAATACTTATTGTCTAATGTATATATTATGATGGAAGACATTTGTTGGATTCCATTAATGGTCACTATCTAAAAATAATATCTAATTATATCCAAATCAATGTATACATATTCAGTGTAGATTTATATTCACTGGAAAAATATAATTGAAAACATAAAAATCAATCTAAATAGCGTTATTTTAAACTCCTTAA